ATTTCCTACCTCACAGTTCGATAGCCAACTTGGTGGAGACTCTTAAGTAGACAACCATTTCTCGGTGGAGAATCGATTCGACGGTTAACTCATATGGTAATCGACGATTACCACTGAAATCACAACTCCATCGCTTCCGACGCCCACATAGAAGACAATCAGCCAGGGAAATCGTTTGAGTTCAATTGATTTGTGATTAAGGGTTCTATGAAACAATTAATATATTACTTAATAGTTACTTAATTCAGACTTTAGAGTCTCTTAGTTTAATTGTTTTGTCACTCAACATATTTGCGCCTAGCCGCTGATTGCCATCATTTCTGCATACAACAGTGAGACAATTAAATTTGGAAGACAGTAATACTACACATACAATATTTTCATACAACATGATGTGGTAAAAGATAGTTGGATGAAAGTTTATTTTTAATTTAAAATCAACTAATTATCTTTTGTCACATCATATTGTATAAAAAATATTATATAAAAATGTTTTGTGTAGTATTATGCAAAATATTTACAGTTAGAAAATTAAATTAATTGGCCGTTATTTTAAGTAATAAAATTATCACATATTTCTTCAGTTAACAACTCAAAATATTTGGTAAAACACATTTCAAAAAATAATTTATTAAATTAGATTATAAAATAACCTATCTTATGAAAGGGTTTCAAAAGTATATTTATATAACTTTTTGAATTCACAAACTACTTTTGGAAGTTTCAATTACAAAATCATCTTAAGAGCAAACCTAAATTTTAAACCTTTTTTTAATAAATAAATTAATAAGATAATAAAAAATATAAAAATTATAGATATATGTAGAAGAGGGGATCTAAAATCTTTAGGCAAAATCAATGAGTAGTTAAAACTATAAACGTGAAACCCTTTTTCTAACTTTATGAATCACTCTATACACTATAGACACCGCACTTTGCTATTTAAACAGACGTTATATGTCTATGATTTTGGTGGTCAAAGACTCCGCGTGCTCTCCATCTAAGTTTAAATATCTAAAACCAATTCACTTTACAAGAACACATCACTCAATTTCCTTTGAATTATGTATAACTTGAGAAGTAATGGGGAGTCTCTGACAATTCACTCTACAACAACCATTTTGGTTTCAGAAATATCATTTCAACCTTCCTGTATTTAGCTATCAAGGAAAAATCGTGTCAAATTTCATTAAGGCCCTTTAAAGGTAAAACTCATTTTATGCTTGTAATTATTTAAATATTATCAAGACAGAGGAGGTCGGGTTTTATGATATTTCTTGAAACCTTAGAATACATTTATTTTCCTCAAAGCTCATGGGATGGGAGGGAAGGGTGTATTTTACCAGTTTTTGAAAGAATAATACAAGATGTACAAACTTTTTCATACCTGTGTCTCATAATAAATGAATAAAGGCATGAAAAAAGTCAATTTAGTAGATGCTCAATAACAATAGAGACATACGTATCAATGAAAGAATGGTACAACATTAGTTTGTATATATTAGTTTGTACATGTAGGATCACTCAAATATCACTTGTATGGGCCAAAAATTGTGTTGGGCCTGACGAGGCCAAAAATTGTGTTGGGCCCGACGAGGCCAAAAAACGTGTAAACGAGATAAATAGGTTACAACCCAAGGCCTTAGCCCAATTCCGGTTGGGCTTACGCTTCAATATACCTTGTGAACTACCCACTCTATGAGTTGGGCCATCCAACATATTAAGCTAAACTGGGTCTAGCCCATTAGCCCACAACAGTCCATAAATAGGAATCATAATCCTACTCTCTTTCCTCTTCTGTCAAGATCACGAATCTTACTCAAAACGGTAAGCCTAATCAAATAAAGGGAAGAGATCATATTTCTTTCCTGATTGGGGTTATCTCCCAAAGTAGGACTCAAAGTCCTACTAGGATTCCAACCTCTTGGGTTTACTATATTAGGATAGGCAAAGCCTCTCATTATGGATTGAAAAATCACCCGCAACACCTAGCTCTCAAAGTTCTTGCTCCCAAGAACCACTGCATTATTCTGGTAATACTTTTTGTCCTCAGCCCTCACTAAATGCCCTTAGCCTCGTTGACCTAAGCGTCGGAGTGTCTACGACAGACACCACACCAATGTTTATCTGGCCTTCAAGTTCTCTTTTCTTCTCTGTGTAGGTCCATCGGGTTGTTAATGGTTCTACTCTCACAAGATATGTCCCTTCCTAATCAATAGTAGATTTTATTGTTTACAGTTTGACACCTATCGTGGGGCCCTGACAACTATTTGACTTAAACGATATGCTATTTCTACTCTTTTTTCCTGATTTAGCCATCATGACTGGAAACACCGGAACCCCCACTCTTGATGTTGCAGCTCAAATTGTGGCCTTCACCATACTGGTGCAAGAGAATAATGACAAGTATCAAGCCCTGGAAGCTCAAAACGCCGCCATCCTCGCAGAGAATCAAGCCCTCCAAGACAAGGTAAGCCAATTCTATTCGTTAGATTGGAATTTGGTCAGCAGCACACCTCCTCTTCTTGGCTCCCTATTCACCCAAGGCAACTGTTCTCCACCCTAGATCATGATACCTTGACAAATCAAACCCACCTCCACTCAGCTCCAACTGCAACCTTACCCCAAGTTGAGCCAACCTGAGCGGATGACGCCCTATCCCAACAACTAAACACTCCCTTCACCCTACCGCAAACACATCCCATGCACTCGATTGCAGAAGCCACCCACCGAAAAATCTTGCTTGACTCGGCGATACATATCAACCCCAAACACATCCCACGCACTCAGTTGCAGACGCCACCCACCAAATAATCTCGCTCGGCTCGGCTCGGCTCGGCTCAACTCGGCCTCATAGAGATGTCTCGCAAGTTCACCTTCCTTAATATGAAACTCTATGATAGGACCACTGACCTTGATGACCACATGACATCTTACAAACAAAGGATGTTCGCTATTTCTATCTTGTGTGATCTCTGTGAAGCATGCATGTGCAAGAGCTTCGGCTCTAGCCTTATGGGGCTAGCCCTCCAATGGTATATCAGCTTACCTAACAACTCTATTGACTCATTTTCTCAACTCACGGATACCTTTGTTGAGTAGTTCGCCAGCAGCAAGAAGCTTGAGAAAAACTCTAGCGACCTCTTGAGAGTACGTTAACACCGCGGAGAAACATTGCGAGACTATGTGGGTCGCTTCAGCATGGAAAAAATCTCCATTCTGTATTGCAATTAGGAGACAGCCATTGACGCCTTCAAGAAGGGGCTCTTCCCCGATAGTGAGTTATACAAGGAGATCTCTAAGTTCAACTACTCCACCATGGAAGATGTGTTGGCTCAAGCTCTAGTAGAAATAAGGTGGGAAAAGGATGAAGTGAACTGCATCAGACACTTTGCCTATGAAGATCGTCATTACAAAAGGGTTGAACGGCACCAAGATAACCACCCCACCGAGCCATACCACCGGCCAAGGAGAGCCCTTAACTGAGACAACCAACACCCAATGGATTGCCACCCGACTCGACACAACGGAAGGACACAAGTCCCGCCCCATTGATACAAGATGCCCGACTACAACCTGAACATCGAACTTGTAGAAATAATGGTTGTGATGAAAAAGATAGGGAAAGTTGTCAGATGGCCTATGAAATTACCACACACAAGGGCCAAGCAAGACACCATCAAGTGGTGTGAATACCATGGGGACCATAGCCATGTCACCATCAATTGTATCACCCTCTGTCTTGAGGTGGTGGAGACACTGAAGGGAGGCCACCTTTACGAATTCCTAATGGACAAAGGGAAGAACACCCTAGCAAACAAGGATCACCAAATTACACCTCCACCAAAAGCACCGCCCACGGATGGGTTGTGCAATGTGATCTCAAGAGGATTAGAAGTAAGCGGTGTAAACTACTCCTCGTCCAAACGTCATGCCAGAGTCGTAGCCAACCTCAAGGTCCAATCCTCCAGGCTACCCTTGTAGAAGGCAACCAATCTGACCATCGAGTTCGTCGACAATGAATCAATGATGCTCCTAAACCCCCACCAGAGAGTCATCACCCTCCAAATAGCCAATATCCTCATCAAGAGAATCCTCATAGACCCGACAACTTCTCAACGAACATCCTGTTCCTTGAGCCAATCAAAGACATGGGGATAAATAAGTCAAACATCATCCATCGGTCTACTCTACTCGTTAGTTTCAGTTCGAAACAAAAATACACAATAAAGGAGATAGTTCTACCAATCTACGCTGAGGAAGTCAACCTCCAAACCACCTTCATGATATTAGACGCCCCCTCTCCTTACAATGTGATCCTCGGTCGGTCGTGGATCCATGGCATGCAGTCCATCCCCTCCACTTTCCACTAGACCGTTTGGTTCCCAACTAAGTGGGGAATAAAGGAAATTCACGGAGACCAGAAGACTTCTAGAGATTGCTATCAGAACGCCTTCAAGACCAAGCGAGGGACCATGTAGAAACTATAGTCCCACTTGCATGTAGGAGCCGAGCTAGACCAACCAGCTATGGAGGAGCTGGATGAAGTCCAAATACATCTTGACCACCCTAAACCGAAAGATCAATAATCGGATCAAAGGCATCATCATTTTGCTTGTCGTGCAATTGAAAACTCGTATCATATCATCGTCTCAAAGAAGATTCTTTACAAATGTAATATTCTAACCCTCCACACATCAATGGCTGATCTTTGCGTTAGAAATTAGAATAAGATATTTCAATAGTTAAAAAAATAAAAAAAAAATAAAAAATAAAAAAGGCATTATCAAGATAAGGATTATGGTGACATTCAACACCAACATCGCCTTAACTCAACCGACAAAAACCTTTCCAACTTTACAAGTCATTAAACCAATTCCTAGTTAGGGATTATGTAGTTTAAAATGGCTTCCAACAATAGTTGTAACAACGCATCAACAGATCAAGGATATCTAGCATCAAACAGTAGGCTGCCGCTAAAACATCTTAGAAGTAGGATCTATGCATTATGAAGAAACTCCATAAGGAAGAAGCACATGAGCCACAATCCGACCTTCTTCATTCAATATGTTGTAAGTTGATGCAGCATTTCTCTACAGCAAAGGCATAGAAAATCATTATTATAGTATTAAGGCATATCATTCTCACCACTATTTTCAAGTTAAAATTCCAGTTGGTTCCTATGGAAAAAACAATACGGAACATTGTACATAGAAAACACAAGTACTCCAATACCAAACAACTTCTACTAATTCAACGGATAGCAATATCTACTTCTAATAGCCATGGGATGTTAGGTTATAGAATTTCCAGTGTGACTCATTGCGTTAAATCATTGCAATTCATGTGTATATAATACCTTCATCTCAAAAGAACCCTATTATTATGTAGTCATTTCCAATACAACTAACAGATAATTGAATCATGGGAGAATTCCCATAGCTTTAATCATACACTAGTGATTCTACAAATATTTTCTTTCCTTAATTTGACAGTAAATATCTAGAGAAGGTTTTTGGCAACAACCTCACTTTATGAAACCCTATCAATGATATAGGACTAACATGAAATAAAACTACAACAAGCTAAAATATTAGTCAGAGCCGGAAAGTAACATAAGCCGTGTCAGTAAGGCAAACCTAGGCCAAGTCTAAAGTCTAAAACACTGTCATTTTTAGACTTCAGATTTAGTTTTACCAAAGCTGTGTCGTTTTGACCAGTTCCCTTTTCTTCTCTTTATTTGAAGAACTTCAGCTGAACTTCTCTGCATATATAAAGAGAAGTTAGCCGCATTTTGATACTTAAGTTTTGTAAATAAAAGTTCAGTAAATAATTTTTCGTGCTCTTTCTTTCTCCCAAATACTCTCTTTAAGCTTCAACATCTCTACTCTCAAAATTCCACATGGTATTAGAGCTTTGACAAATGTCAATGGCTAAATTCGATCCTTCTAAGTTCATTAACACTGACAAGATGTTGAATAACTTCAGCAATTCTAGCAATTTTGCTTCGCCTGTGTTCTCATGCAGCCTACAAGTGATTAAACCTAAGCTCACTCTTGACAACTATCGATTCTAGTGGTTGCAAGTCTTGTTCGCCATGGGTGCTCATGCATTGGAAGACCACTTGATAGGTACAATTTCTTGTCCTCCACCACTCATTTGTACCAAGAAAGATAACTCTGAATTATTGGTGAAACTATAGACAAAGAAAATGTAGTTACAGAGGAAATTAATCTAGCTTATGTCATTTGGAAACGTACTGACAGAATCTTGGTTAGTTGGCTGTTAGCAAGTATGTTTGACCATGTCTCTAAATGTCATCATTCAAGTGAAATATGGTTTGTCTTAGAGAATGAATTTGAAATTGATTCTAAGGCTAGAGCTTTGCACTTAAAGAATTTGTTGCAAAATACTCATAAGAAGGACTTAAGCATAAATAGTTACTTCAAGAAAATAAAGGAGATTGCCGATAGTTTATCTGCTAGTGGACAACCCATATCAGATGAGGATCTTCTCTAGTATGTCTTAGATGGTCTTGGCCCTGAGTATGATGCGGCTGTTGTGAATTTAACCTCACGTATTAAGTCTAAAGTGGATTCTGTCTCCTTGTAAGAAGCAAAGTTTTTGCTGCAAAAATATGAAATAAGGCTGGAAAAATTCAATACCTTGGTCTTCTCAAACAGTTCAACCAACATAGCCACTATAGCTACTGGAAATCGGTTAACATCATCCGTGAAACATGAGAATGGTCCAGTGTTTAATGGACCTACCTTGAATGCTGTACATAGTTTACAGAGTCAACAACCTCACTCCACTTATCCTTTCCATGTAAATTCAGTACCTCATTTTAGCTCTCAAAATGCTTCGATGCAATTGCCTGATTCTCAAATTGATATGTCCTAGAATGCCTACAGACCTGCAATGTTTAATAATTCTGGTAGAGGTAGAGGTAGAGGTAGATTTAACAATATAGGCATACCTATATGTCAAGTGTGTGGTAAACCAGGACATACTGCTGTCCAATGTTCCACAGATATGACTCAGCCTATTCTAGAGGATTTCAATTAGGAATGTTTCCATCTCAGTCACAGTTCAGCAATGGAAACTATCAAACTGGAAATTCCCACTTTGCAAGGCCAAGTCCTTACCCGTATGTAGGCTCATTATCTCCACAATTTAATCCTGGTTCTTATGGAAGTTTAGGACACTCTGGACACTCTGGTCCTATTGGTCTTCCAAGCCAGTAGATGTCATCTGGTCCTATTGGTCTCCCAAGCTAACAGATGTCATCTGGTTCACAAGCTCACTTTGCCACAATCTAGTAGTCACCATCAGGCTCACAAGCATACTTTGTTGTGCAGTCCCAATAGTCTCCTACTATGACTATGCAACAGTACCCAAATATGCCTCCACAACACTTCCCAAATATGTCAACTTCCTTTGCAAACTTAGCAACACCTACTGATCTTATTTGGTATATGGATTCAGGTGCAACAGACGACATTGCCTCTGATCTAGCTCAGTTGAATGCCAGCAAACCATATGAAGGTACAGATCAATTGCAAGTAGGAAATGGTGAGTTCTTAAACATTTCTCATACTAGTTTTTCTTCATTACCTAGTGTCTTACAATCCAAATGTTTATATCTTAAAAATATCCTGTGTGTACCTAAAATCACCAAGAATTTACTAAGCATTTCAAAATTTACAAAGGATAATAATGTGGTTGTTGAGTTCAATTCTAACTGCTGTGTTATGAAAGACAAAATTTCCAAGACTGTGCTACTCGAAGGAGATCTTAAAGAAGGGCTAAATCGGCTGATGCTACCTTCTAGTATGTCCATTCAACCCTCACTCTCACCACAAGTCAAACTCCCAACTTTACCTTCTGGTAATTGTGCAGTGTCTAAACAAGTTCAGTATTCAGTAGAAGAACCTTTAGAATCATCAATGTTAGAGAAGTCGAATAATGTTGAATGCTCAAGTGATCACTTCATCACTGTTAATAATGACATTACTTATGTTAAATCTTCTTGCAATAAAAATAAATTTCCAGTTTCACTTTCAAATGTCTTAGTACCTGATGAAAGTTCTAAGGTTGATATCTCTAATGAATATCATCAACATGATTTATCTAATGCATATCTTAAGTATAGCATTGTGATTAAATCTGCTATTGCTAATAAAGAACACCATATGAATGATTTTTCTGATGCTGCTTTGTTAAATTCTGCTTTTATTATTAAACAAAATAATAAACAATTGTCTTTAGACAATTCATCCTCTCACGCTGAAGCACTTGTTACTACAAACAATAGTGTTAATTCATTGATTTGGCATCAAAGACTAGATCACCCCCATAGTAAGGTTTACAATCAAATCATGCATCATTCACTACAAAAATTGAATTTACATCCTGTTGAATTCTGTGATGCATGTCAATTAGGAAAGATGCATCACACTAGCTTTCCCAAATCACATTCTAGAGCTAATTTTCCTCTTGAACTCATCCATAGTGACATATGGGGTCCTACACCTATTTCCTCAACTGAAGGCTTTTGATATTATGTGCAATTCTTAGATGACTTCAGTAGGTCTACTTGGCTATTTCCTCTTAGAACTACGGTTGAGGTTAGATCTACATTCATCAAGTTTCATTATTTAGCTGAAAGACAATTTGGTTATAAGCTTAAGTGTATCCAATCTGATCAAGGAGGCGAGTATAAGGGATTAGTGCCATATATATCCAGTAAGGGAATTTAGTTTAGATATTCTTGTGCCTATGTCCATCAACAAAATGGAAAGAGTGAAAGAAAGCATAGGCATGTTGTAGAAATAGGTTTAAAACTATTAGCCCATGCCTCTATGCCTTTACATTTCTGGTGGCTTTCTTTTGATACTGCTACTTAATAAATAGAATGCCTACTGATGTACTGCAACATGCATCTCCCTATCAATTACTATTTAAATTTCCACCTGTGTCTGATACCTTGAAGGTCATTGGTTGTGCTTGTTTCCCTTTCCTAAGAGTCTTCAATGAACATAAGTTTAGTTTCCATTCAAGTAAGTGTGTCTTTGTTGGATATAGTTTGATTCATAAGGGTTATAAGTGTCTTAGCTCAGATGGTCGAATCTTTATCACCCCAGTGTTAGATTCAATGAGCATGAATTTCCTTTTTCTTCTTGTTTCACCATTGTTAAACCTGTCTAATCTTCCTCACTTGAGTCCTCTTCCACTGCACTTACATTTTTTCCCTTATGTAAGTAATTGATCTACCATATGCAGTGGAAAACAAAAATTCAATCGGTAAATCAATTACCTTTCTTTGACTAGATTCGAATATAGATTATACGTTTACATGTTTATAAACAAAAATATGTATAAAGTAAATCCATTCAAGGATTAGAATACTTACGTATGTTTGGAGGCTCCTTCGAATATCTCTGATTTTGGACAGGAACATTGTTCATGATTACTATTCACAGTCTGATGTTCACGTTTACTATTCATCATCTACTGTTCACGTGATTTTTTGTCAATCGATCCAAAGTAGGATCGCACTCACGGAAGTCCACATGAAGATAATCCACAAAACCCTTGATTATTTTGCTAGAACAATAAGGGCTTTAAGAATCAAGAAAGAAGAACAAGAAAAGTTTTCTTCTTGAGAGAGAGAGAGAGAGAGAGAGATAGGGTGGCTAAGGTTTTAATCGAATGAATAATTTCTACTGTTTTAATTTTTAAGTTGCACTTATATAGTGCAACAATTAAACCTTATTCCACTTAGGAATAGTCATTGGCTCCAACCCTAATTCACCCTTGCAACCAAACACACCCTTTATGGTATTTTAATTAATTATTATTATTATAATTAAAATCAATTAATATATAATAATATATTAACATTTAATTAATAATAATAATTCATTTAAATATATACAGAGATACATTTAAATATAATCTCACTAATTTAATTTTAATATTAAAATTAAATACAGGCAACAACCTCAGCAAATTTAATTGCGCTGTGAGATTACCAAAATACTATTTCATCCTGAAAGATGAAAATACCATTCTCACAAATTGATTCTTA